TGTCAATAGTTGTTTTTTATTTCTAAAGCCTTCCTGCCATGTGGTTTCTCTTCTGGGATCTGTTTAGTTCCAACTGGTCTGCGACAATACTGCACCCTTCTTTTGTCTTTTAGGTCTAGAGGTGATAATGTCTTCTTGCTATTGCTAGTATGTAAGTGCATTGCCACATCTTGTTGGTTTCCTTATGCATAGCCACTGTAGATAATCCCTTTATTACATTTTTTTTAGTTCAATATATTGAACGAGCCGTCTCTTTCCAACAGATACCTGGATACAGTCTTACACTTGCCACTTTACATTATTTATGCTGACTCACTTATATATTTCTTTCCCAGAAGAAAATTTACTGAGTCAAATTTTGGAAACATTTTAAAGTCATTGGCACATGTAGATAAACAGCATTCATAAAATTTGTACCATTTTTAAAATTCGTTTTAACATCGACTGAGAGAAATCCCAGTTGCATAGGGATTCACATGGCTGATAGATTGCACCCTCCCCTATCCTGGCTGTTCTGGGAGAGGCAATTCCGGGTTAGAACTCTCCCTATGGCCCCTTTCATCTCACTGTTCCTCAGGGTGTAGATGAGTGAGTTGAGCAGTGGGGTTCCTAATGTGTACACCAGTGAGATGAACTGATCTTGCTTGGGGTAGTAGCTGGAGTTGGGGCGCAGGTACACGAAGGCGCAGCAGCCGTACTGCAGCAGCACCACGGTGAGGTGGGAGGAGCAGGTGGAGAAGGCTCGGCGGCGACCAGTTGCCGAGTGGATCTTGAGCACGGCGGCCACTATGAAGGCGTAGGAGGTAGCGATGAGGAAGAAAGGCACAGTAATGGCTAGAGTGGCTGCCACCAGCACTGAGTGCTCATGGATGTGGCTGTGGGCACAAACAAGATGCATGACTGGGGGCACATCACAAAAGAAGTGCTTGATACCCCGAGCCGGGCAGAATGGCAGAGAGAAGATGAAGGCCACCAGTTGTAAGGACAGGAACAAACCAATGACCACAGAGGCCACAATCAAGCTGACACAAAGAGTCAATGTCATGATAACAGGGTACTGCAAGGGATGGCAAATGGCAACATACCGGTCATAGGCCATGGTGGCCAAGAGGAAGCAGTCAGCACTGCCAAGTCCGATGAAGAACACCATCTGAGTGGCACAGCCCAGGAGGGAGATGGTCTTCTCTGACTGTAGGATGCTGGCCAGGATGTGGGGCACCACCACAGCAGTGTAGCATACTTCTACCCCTGCCAGGCTTCCCAGGAAATAGTACATGGGTGTGTGCAGACGGGCTTCTGTGTGAATGGACGCTACAATAAGGACATTCCCGGTGAGGATAAGCATATAAAGCAGGCTGACAGCAAGGAAGGATAGGACACGCAGCTCAGGGCAGGAGGGGTAAGCCAGGAGCACAAATTCCATCAACACAGAGTGATTTTCCCAGGCCATTGCGCTAACAGCTTTTCTCTGTGGAAAGTCACAAGGACAGAAGGAAGAATGAGATGGAGGATACATTAGTTTACGCTCTGAGCCATGAATCTAGTCTAATCAGGGCTGGAGTTAGAGACAAGAAGGATAAGACTAGTTCTTTTTTTTTTTCCCCTCCACTTTACCAAGTTTCTCTGCAGAAATATCTACACCTCAAATTCTAACTGCCAAGAGTTGGGCCAGATTATGTAAGAGACTGTTAAGGAAAAGTGGCAGAGCAAGTGGGTGGAATTCAGGAATGATTTTCAGAAGTAGTGGAACGAAAATTAAATTTTCTTAGTAAATGCACAAGAAAGTGTCAGGATATTTGGGGGGCTAGGAGTCATTAAGGTGTGAGAGGGAAGACAATCATTTGTTTGTTCATGTATTTATTTATACTCAACATCTCCTGAGGCGTTGCAGCAGTGGTATGTGGATGTTTCACTCAAAAGCTCACAGTATGATAGGAAATGAAGAAAGAAAAAAACGCCCATAAGGCGAAGGGCCGACAGAGGCCTGAGCTTGACAGTGTCAGGTCTGAGCCTCAAGAAACAAAGCCCTCCCTCCTCTTGGCTTCTTTAGCCTGACACAATGAGGAGACGTATAAGAACTTCAAGGAAACAGGGTGCTTTATCACAGGTTTCCTCCTGGTTTGTGGAGATATGGGAAAATATGTGATAAAAAGCTGTCAAAAATCTAAGAGGCCTTCCTGCGAGTTTGAGCATGAATATGAAAGACTGAGCCGGCCCCTTTTTCCACATTTCTAAGAGGCTTATGTGGAATCTGGGAGAAGCCATCTAGTTCTCACGAAAACCTTTAATGAACAGACATAACTCGCAAAGGACGTCCATCCCACTTCTTTTCCTGGACCAACTCATACTCAAGAAGGTGGGAAAGAGGTAACATATGACCTTGTGACCTTGTTTCAACTTGCCATGTTTAAATATTTTGTTATTCGTTATGAGTTTGAAGAGAAATCTCTATCTGGACACACCACTTCCAGTAAAACTCGTTCACATAAACCTACCATGGTGTCATGAGCATGGGGACAAATGTGATTACAGGCAGTCACAAATATTAAGAGCACCCAGGGCATGAATGGCTCTGTGGCTCTCTGTTGTTTTTCTAACAGCTAATAAGCAATGTCTGTTTCAGTTATTCTGTTTTCTTCATCTAGACTTCAATAATACTTTGAATTATTTCTAATACCACTTAGCATATTGCACATTTTACTATAACATGTTGAGGAGGGACAGTGTATCAGTGTGAAATGAGCTGTGAAATTAAATGATGTGGTTTGAATAATTTC